CTGTCACCAGCTGTGTAGTAAGGCACGTTTATTTCTATAGCGCAGTTCAGTACGTGAAAATAAGGAGACCGGAAGAGTTTTGGCTGTGAATTTAAACATGTCCAGCCTTCTGCGGCTTTTACCGCCATAGGCTCTGTCACCTAGCAACCATGAGAGATCACACACAAACAGGAAAAGAATAAATACAGAAATTCTCACTGCTGTTTTGGGTGTTATTAAAATGTTTGGGGATCTTCAACAGCTGCATGATGTCAGATTTCTAGCCGCCACACGCAGAGATATCGGAATCTGAGCTAAAGTGTCAGCCAAACCCATTTACACAATAAAAGATAAAACCTTTCAGTAAACCAAACATTACCGCCACATATCTGACTCAGTAACCATTAAAACTGTTTAGCGCCATTTCCCTTTGTCCTCTGAACACGGAGCAGCCGGCCTGCTTGGACTGGACCAGAATCATGGGATACCCAAGTTTATGGAAGATACATAGGACCCATTCTTCGAAACTGTCAAAAAGAAGGATGCATTTATAGGCCGCATGACGAGGAGTCTTCCAATCCAAACAGACCTCAGCGCCGTGCTATGACGTAATCAGGCTACGAATTTGGCCTTCAGAGGACGCATCCCATGAATTCGAACTCAGCCTAGAAGACCTGAGTGGTCTGGGAGGTTTACCCACTGACAGGACGACTTCCTGTTCAACTTTCTGTTGCCGGTACCCACGGCTACTTAAGGCTAAACTCCGCTGAAAGCTTTGCTGAGTCTGGACCAGATCCCTCCGGAGAGGTCTGTCCTCGCTGGACAGAGTCAGACTACCTTTTTCTTACACTTCAGAGGGAGCTAAATTTAGAGTTGACGTTTTTTTCCTGCGAATCAAACAGAGTTGAACGCAGTGTTTCCTGAAACACCTCCAGCAGAGCAGAGTAGAGATTGAGAGCCAAGTGCTCTGTTAGGAACATAACACCTTTGAAAGACCGAGAGTCTGACCTCTTCGTAATACATCATTCAATGATATCAAAAAATCTATTTCTAAACAAATCACCAGACATTTTCAGAAATGCTCCTATATC